CCCCCCCCCCCCCCCCCCCCCCCCCTTCCCATCGTCTCTCTTCCTCTTTTCTCCATGGAGAAAAGGGCTAACGTAAATCGTGACTCTTTCAACGTCAATCCCTGAAAAGCGCGCGAGATGGATCTTATACATTTCCGACAGTCCGGGACTTACCTCGGAACGTTCGATTTCGATATCCCGAGCGCACACCCGGAGAAATCGATAGCCGGTCGCCGAATCGACGGCAAGAGATCCACTGCTTGCAGTCACGACGATTTATTGGCATCCCCTATGATTCGTGCGGCGAGGTGCGCGGGCATTTCCAGCTACATGTTAATGCCGCTCGTCGCATAATGTTTATGAATAGCTTTTGCGGCGTACCTTCATACATAGCCACGCGCGAATCGAAGCAATTATTCAAATAGAAACGGAAAGGAAACATAAACAAACTAATTTGGACATTGATGCTATAAATGCAACATGCATTTTAATTAATTATTGAGGATATCGCGGTATATCGAAAAATAATAATCGCTAAATAATTTACTGATTGATAAAATGCGATTTACGTTAGCCCTTTTCTCCATGAAAAGCTCTAGGGAGAAAAGAGGAAGAGAGACGATGGGGAGACGACGGTGACCTCCCCCCTTGCGATCAAATTGGTGTCTCCTCCAAATCCTTTTTTCGTAGTTTACACGTAAACGTCGTAGTAATTCTTACAATAATGGCAAGTGAGACATTTGAAGAAACTTTCTCGAATGGGGGAGAGATAAAAGGTAAAATGGTCCGCCGTAAATTTCGGCGATCGCGTACGCAGTGTCCGCTGAACAAGTGTCGATAATAGGATCCTACAAGGATCTCTTTTTTTCACCGCGGCCGGTTTAGTACCCACTTTATCACGCGAGGTCGTTTCGTTTCGAGTGGATCATTCTGCATCCGACACATAGACGCAGGTGGGCGCGCTTTATGGCCGATGTTATTATGATCAAACCTCATTGTGTTGGACGTCGTCGGTAATGATGGGATAGCACGTATTATTGTGTCTTTACGTTTCTCTTTCTCTCTCTTTCTTTCCTATCTCATCACTGGCGATGTATATAATAGTCTCTCTTTCATCACGACACATTTGTGTGTAATGACTTGTACTCACAACTTGTAGAACAACCACGGACTTCTCTTTACGATTAATTGTTACATTTTTATGACAATTCTAAACGAAGACACTGAATAATCGATTATCCAAGATTACGTTTCAGCTGATGAATTTCCAATGAATTGCGACACGGCAATTGTCCAAATTTTTTTTAGAAAAATACTAAAGAATATTTACTTTTATAGAATATTAGCTTTTTCCTGTTGCATTCTACTGTAAGACAACCGTTGACGATCACAAAACGATTCAATGTATCTGGAATGTATCTCACAGTCATATAGCTATGGAATTTGTGTGAATAGGTTTTATAACTTTTTTGTTCTTATAATTACGTTATATGTCTTTGTATTTTATTGTTATTAAAATGATTAGTTATAATTCCGTTTGAATTTTGTTGTTTTAACATTGAAAATGATTGGGATCGAAACGTATAATGTACTAACAAACTGTTTGTTTTTTAATAACATAGCATCAAGACCTTGCTTGGCTCGTATAGCCCTATCTTCATTATTGTAACTTTATAAAAGATATTTCTTTTCTCGTAAAATGTGTATAACGCAACGCTCATACATATTTGCGGCCACTTGTTCAATAAATTAGCGTATGACAAACAATAACTACGATTGAGGCGTGCGACATCAATGTGTCATTCATTATGTAGGAAATTTACCGTTATGCATACACCTGTATACTTGATCAGCACGTTAGTAGAATATTTTTAACTAGATGCGTGTGCAATGTGCTAGACGAACGTACATATTCATAGCTGATGAATAACGTGAATATTCAAGAATATAAAATTGGAGTGCTTGCGCTCCACTTACGGCCATGTAAATTTGTCATTCCGTTCATAAATTATGAACTATAACGACACATCAATCGTAGAGTTTGCAATATTGCTGTACATTATCGCAATTACTCAAATAATAGTTACATGTCATGCGTCATCAAACTCAAAATTGACCACCGTTATTTATAATTCTTTAAATTCGACAAACGCGGTGTCAATATCGATCAAATTGACAAAGTCATCGCGTATAAACGTGATATGAATTTAAAAGATTTAATTTTAAAAAATCTCCAACAATCGTACTATAACACGATGCGACGTTACTGTTTAGATAACATTCATCATCTTCACGGAAAAGAAGAATCCGGAAGAATCTTTTTATTCTAGCCCTTGACAGAGGGAACGATATTTCATCGGCAATTAAATCGCTCTAATAGTAGTAAAGGAAATTTGTTATCGCAACTGGGTGCGTCGTAGGAAGTTTGCGACACTTACATCTTAAGTGTAAAGCGTGCGCACTGCAGAAAGTTATTATTAGTTTCACAGGAAGGCGTACTTTCCGGCTTGGAGACGAGCGTAAAATACCGGGAAACAACGTTACGTCGTTTGCAAAGTTAGCATCGTGCGAGCATAGCACATACATAGCACTTCCCTGAACGGAGTGAGAAAATTGTAGAATTTCGATCCATCATTCGTATAACGTTCCCGTTTCGTTTCTCTCTCGCATTCTCGACTCGGCTCGAGCCGAGATGACGAAGGTCTGGCATAGCCATCAGAATTTACCGTCTCGCGGCCGACATTATCCGCGACGACGAAATACGTCATTTTTCGGAAAGCTAACGCGTATATATATATACGTTTAGCAGAACATTACCCTCGTTGGCGCGCGCACGCGCGCGAGTTTGTCCACGAACGTTATTTATTGCTTATTCGCTTCACTCCGCGTACGCCGTACGGTAAACAGCACAGTATATATATACGAGAGAGCTGTGAAGTGATGCACACACCTTATTGCATCCAGCGTATATCAGTATGTGCAATTTGTTCTTTCTCTCACAATTAAGTGTGAAAAAATTGGAAAACTTGACCATCCGTTTCCGATAGAACAACTTCCTCCGTCTATTTATCGGCGCACTTAATTTCTGCGGTAATTACCTTATCGACGTTCGTTTCGCTCCCGTTCGATTAAAAAAAAAAAAGAAAAAAAAAGAAAAATAGAAAACGAGGAAAGAGGCGAGAATACGCAGAAGTTAGCCCTTAGTACGTTTTCACGGTGCGAATCGACGATATTTTCACGTAACCAACCAATTACGTAAATGAAGCCCACTCTTACTACGACGACATTGCTCATTTCTCACTTTACGTAATTACAGTTAGTGCACAAACGTGCCGATCGAAATCTACCGATATCTCTTTGAAAACATTTCAATCTTCCTCTTGTGACCATTAATTCATCCCTTGACGATCTCAATACTGAAGTGCTTCAGAGAAACTGCTTGTTGTTACTCTGATATATCTTGTATAATATTATAAAAGATGTAATATGTTAATTTAGCAATCGACTTTTTTCAACGATAACGCAACGAATATATTAATACAAGCTTTATATAATACAACACTTGGCGAATACAGACAAATATATCGAACACAGATTTTACGATAATTATTCCAAGGTAACTCTCTAAACATTATATGCAGGAGAGTCAAAAGACGAGATAGGATCGGCCTTCATAAACTTCGATATCTCATAGGATGGTTTCCATTCGAGCCTCAAGTACCCTTATGACTTCGTTGTGTTGGTAAAGGTTCTCATTGTCACGCATTCCTACGTATGCCGCAGCTGTTGTTGTTCACCCGTATTAAGAGATAGATTTACATGAGTAAACATGTTAAGGTCTTGAGTCCCACTTACAAATTGAAATTAGAATCAAGTCTGGGAGTATCTGAATAATCTGAATGCATTAAATGTTAAAGGACCACGTAAGCATATATATATCAAAAGCGATTTCTGTATAAAGTTTTAATTTGTATAAAAATTATAATTTAGAGAAAAAAGAGAGAGATTTGACTATTGAATTTAATTACAAAATACGAATATTATATATAGAGACTTCTAACGTATCTTTTAGTTATTATATATTATGATATATATTATATAAAAATATATAATAAAAATATATGAATTAGGCAATTCATATCACACGATGCTGCTAAATTGCTGTATATGTCAATAAAAGATTGGATAAATTGTAAGTTCAGAGCTACACGAACAAATGAGCATACGGAAATCAAATCTCAAACGGAAGCTGTTTATCAACTGAATTTATGATGACATTTAGGACATGAGATAAGCACCTCGTTTTCATGAAAAAGCCTTAAAATTCGGAGTCCGTCGAGCTTTCACCATCGTCCTAACATACAAGGGTGATGATTCTACAAGCGCAAGTACTCGCAAAGTTTATACGCCTCTACGTTACGGAGAAGTTATGTGTCGAGGGCTCTGGGGAAAATCATATTTCTACACGTATTCGCCGACATTCATGTTGAAGACATCAAAATAATCCTTTTAAACAACGACAGGAACCGTATACCCTCGAGGCTGATGTTATCCTTATTCTTTCAGACTTCATAAAAGTATGTTACGTCTAAAGTAAAATTTTATTTTACATCGAGGTATCCTGTTTCCTAGACTGTACGTCACGTTTCCCAGATTACATTTCATTCGTTCGGAAAGTCGTGGATGCAATAATTGTTCTATTTTTTTTTTTTTTTTTTACAAAACTAACAGATGTAATAAATTTATTATAATACAAGCTGTATTACTTATCGACGTAGACATCCTCGCATTTTTTTCACGTTTAACCGAGATAATGTTTATCATCTTTAAGGTAAAATCCCGATTTTGTGGTACTTTAGCTCATACAAATTTATTCCGCAAAATTTATCTTTTCTCAGAGAGTGCCATGGGACATGGCGAGGCAATTATTGATTAAGAAAGGTGATAAATCGCGTGCACAGCATGCAATGTATACTTACTAGTAGCGCTGACAGCTGGTCCGATGACTGAGTACTTGGGGTTCCCTGTAACGGCTCCTGGGACCTTGTCCGGCTCTGAAACACATTATTGTAATTATCTCCAGAATATACAGTGCCGTTAATTACAACAGGGAGTCGCGTATGCAATGGACCGCAGCCAATCTACCTAGTACAAAGGATCTATCCGTATGATTCATCGTCTTCTAAATACATTAGATTGTATTCTTGTTGAGAATGAGAACAGTAGCGCTTAGATTTTGTGAAAATATTGATTGAACGTCGGTATTAATTCAAAATTTGCTAAATGCTCGTCATTGATATGATGATCAATGGTATTATTAACAATAATGCAATGTAAAAATATAAATGTAAAAATATAATATAATATTGTCAAAACTCAGTTATCATATGATAATCAGTATCATATATTTATTTATCATTTTATATATATTGTATATATCTATTAATGACAATGTCGAAAAGTATAATAATAACAATAGGTAAAATCAAAGAATAATTCAAATATGTCTGAAAAAGTTGAATGGTTTGACTAGTTACCAAGTAAGCAAAGAAGATTCCATATTAGAGTAATATAAGCTTTCTCGCTAGGTGTTACAGTTTGTTGGAAAGCTGCACGATCTTCCTTGCCGACCGTGAAAAGCTTCAACGTTACCGGAAAGCTTCGCAAAAGCTCTGTTTCATGGCGCTTTCATATATGCTTTAACATAGCGACGCGTTATGTTGAGCTTTTGAACTTCAAACTACAATACCGACCGACAATACTTTAGTATATACTTTGATAATTTAATGTTATCAACTAAATTTTCAATAACATAATATATAACTTCTTTTTGTACTGTAATCATTTTTTTAATCGAACTATATTTATGTCTATCAAGAATATAAGAGAAATAATTTAATGAAGGTACAAGAATTGTATGTAAATCTTTACGTTTTCGAAACAAGAATTTTCATAATAATATAATATTGAATAATCAAAAGAAATTTATAAAAATGAAAAAGTTTGATTAATGCGAATTTGTTAATTTTTATAGGAACGATAAATTGCTGTGTTAAATGAAAAAGATAGATAAATTGAATCCAAACACATAACGAAATCTAAAAGATATTTCTACAACTATTTCCCAGAATACGACGTAAGGCAGTGGATAATTTAATGGCTCGTCCCATGACTTTAGGGACTCACCTGAGTGGAAACTTTATCAATGGCCGCGGTCTTACACATCGTAGGAGATGAGACGGTGCCGAAGAAAGAGGAGTGGCGGGATCGAAGGATGTTCAGAAGGGTGAATTTTCGTGATGTCGACAAGTAATCGTCGTTCGTTACTGACCAGGATGCAGCGCATCGTCCAATGGCTGGAATTGAAACATCGCCTTGAAACCCTGGCCCGGCCATTCGGAATTAGCGACGAACTCAACGTAGAGACCTGGTCCTGTGCTGAGTACTTCCACTTCCGTTCCCTGGTTGCAGAGCACGGCTATTGTAGGCGCCCCTGAATCCGTTCCGTCGTGCACCTTGATTAAATCCGCTCTATTCAGACAACTGTAACAGAACAAGCACATCGTTTTTCGTTAGAAGCAACTTATCGGTACATTACTTTCAGATTAATCCGCTTTAAAAAAATTAATTGATATTAGCGCTGTCAAGAAGTATAGAAATAAAGAAATTCAATGATAAAATCCATGTTAGCATAATTTTGCTATTTTAATGTTGTTCCCTAAATCAAAGAGCGTATAGAGAAATCTTACTTTATAGAAATTTACCTCCATATAAAGATTTAAATTGCGAAATGGGATGCGCAAATAAAGAGAGAGTCCTTGAGATTCTCGGCAACGAAGGTATGTTAAGTTCGCTTTGAGTTCTGCGGCTCCTCTAGATAACACGCACTAGAGGGAACGGGATCGAAAGGGAAGACAAAAGAGATGAGAGGTAGAACGAAGCGAGACAGGTTCAATGGGGGTTGAAGGTGAAACTGTAAAGAGTGTACAGTGACAAAGGATGGCATCGTCGACAAGACGAGCTGTGGGCGCTAAGCCAAGGAGAGAGTCTCGACGCGACCAACGATTCGTTCCATACGTGTACGCGAACTACTCAACTCGATCGAACCGAAGAGGGGTATTACATCTTCGATGCCTTCAGCCTTAGGAATCGTGCGCTACATCGACGGGATCACTGATTCGATCGATTTAAAGGCTTGATCGATAACGGTAGACGGGATAACCTTATTACTTGCACGGGTTAAGCAATTACGTTGGCAGAGAAAGATTATCGTCGGAAGAACCAGAGATTAAAGAGCCACCCCTGTCCCGCCTATTCGTTCCGCTTCCTTGCCTCTGAACCTACACGTGCGACTTTTGACCTCACTTACACATGCACGATAACATCATTCTTTACTGATGTAATGCAGTGAGATATTGTGTATCTATGGCGAATCTCAACAGAAACATGAGAATATTTTCAATCGCCGACTTTGGATGAGCATTATAATAAGTAGACGCAAATCTCAAATCTGTTTAAAACAATCAAATTGAAAAGTTTAACTATGAAGTTAGTGGTGCGCGTAAGTGAACTCAATGCGAAGGCAAGCAAATCCGTCTATCAAAGTTAATCTAGCGTAGCATCGCGCGCTCGAAGTGTGTACACGGAATTCTTCAAGTGCCCAACAAGATTTACTTCGGGCTATCACCGACTCCATTTTGCTCTCGATTTTATTCGTATTCCGTCTACTATGTCTCAGTGGCTATTCCATGAATATCGTTAAAGTAGCGTTTACCTTTGGAAACTTGAATTCAAGCGTGAAAGCACGTTGAAGTATCGAATGGCGGTACAAAGAACCGCTCTACATCTTCCTTTCCTTTTTATTAAACTTTTCACAAGTTAACGTATATAGTAAAGGATTATTCATTACTTATATCCATATAGGAAGGGATTATTGATACTGTCGATATTACATCAATAGTTCCCTCAACTATAACTTTATATGAGCGAACGAGTGACGTATATGCGTGCTATAAGCGTGCATTCGGATAGAGTAGAAGTGTATCGAGTGCTGGATGGAGGAGTCTCTCGGTATCCATCAGCACCATTCACGATAATATCCGAGTGCATCTGACGGAGCGGCTTAACGTTGATATATGGAGGCATTTCTCAGCTCTTACCCGAGCTCTTACAGATTTTTACCACCAGTCTTGGAGGAAGTGCCATCGGCCACGATATAAATTAATGCAATCGATCGTAGATTTGTAGACCGTATTTCGCCTATCGCCTTTCAATTCAACGAATCTTTCTTTTTCTCGCGTGCTATGTTTAATCGAGAATACTGCGATTATAATATTCAAGTTGACATATTTATCAAATTTCTCTCCTAAATCAACACTTTTCTAATTGTAAAAAGCCCAATTCGACTGACCGTTCTGCAAATATAAAATAAAACTTCTTTTTTTAATTATTATCACGTTATTGATTTCATTTACTAAAAAATAATTAGCGTTGTGTCGATGTTATTTGGTCAGGTTGAGATATTCTCTTCTGATTTCACGTTAAAGCATTCATTCGCTGTAACCACTTCATATAAATACGTCAGCGTAGAGTTAATATTGAGTCTATTTATCTTGTTATACAAATACTATTGGATTCATCGGCATTCATGAAAATATGAATGAATCCAATTAATTTTTACATTACATTAAAGAATAACAAATATTATTGTACAAATATTATTAGATATTATATTGTATTACTGAATGTAAACACGTTTTTATTACAGATGTATAGGATTGGATGCGTAAATTATTGGAAAGTTGTCCCAATATTTTTAGAGTGAATAAATTACCCGGTGCTACGTGTAAATTAATTATTTAAAAATTGCAAATTTTGTCATAAAAATAAGTTTTTGCTGCATTGGCAGCAAATTGCTCGTGAATCACTATGTTACTGGACCTCGATAGAACGTGCGAAACAGAATATAGAGTGAAGTTTAAATGAGATTTGTGTGATGCCAGTTTCAGGCTCATAAAATAAAACTATTGCTAAATAAAGTACAAAGCTTAAAAATTTAGACGGTAATATGCGTCTGAAAAAATATACATAATTCTTTCAAATATTTAAACAAGTTTTAATATTAATTTCTTTTCTTCCCCCATATACTCAGCGTGAATATAACATCTAGTGAATATATAATTCAATTATAATATTTATATACAGCATATAAAAGTATATAATTTTATAAAAAAAATAAAATTATTTTGAACATTTCGCATAAACCCGGAGTTATTTTCAAGTTGATATTTTCTTTCTATTTTCAACTATGTTGCTTTCATACTGAGATTTATGTAATAGTATAATGCGATTTGAAAATTGCTTATTATTCATATCTCGTTGCACTCGCTGTGTAAATTATATTTGCTTTCGTATTATTTGAGCCAACCTCATTGTATAAAATTTTCTCAATTTTCTCAGATTTCATGAGCGCGTCACATTTCTTATACTCATGAGATATATCTAGTATTTTAAAATTGTTTTTTAAAATTGTATTTAAATTAAATTTTCTTCAATAAGTTATTTTAAAATGATCGTTCAATCTTGTTAAAAAGTTATTATTTCATAAAAAAATCAAGTAAAAATTTCTAGATCTTATCTTGATAATATTTCACCATTTTTTCCACAATTTTCAATCACAAAATCATCGATTTTGATTTCCGAGTTCAAAGTTAAAAGGTCACTAACGGAATGAAATTAAGGGAGCTCAATACCGAATTAGGACAGAGTTCGAGGATTTATCAAGGATTAACTCCTGCACGCTGCAACTGCGAATCCCCAGGTACCTCTCGTTTCTCCAAGTCGACCTCCCAATCACCATTCTCAGCTCTAAGTCTTCGCGCAGAGAGGAACTTTATGTGGGTTAAGTAGAATCGTGGTCCACGCCGTATTCAAAGGATTTAGAGGTCAGGTGTAACTGGCACACACTACAGGATTTAAAAAGAGAATTTCCGTAAAGGTACGCTATCGCTGTCAAGTCGAGATCGTATTGCGGCGAAGTTAATTACAACGAGAGGTGAAATTCGTATAGCTGGATTTAAATCTTTAACAAAGATAGAAGACCGTAGTTGGGTAGAATACGTCGTAAATATATCTTGATAATAGCCCTCGTAGGCTATATATGAAGTTTACCGAGTTACCATATATAAAAATATGAAAAACACGAGAGAGAGAGAGAGAGAGAGAGAGAGAGAGAGAGAGAGAGAGAGAGAGAGATTTTGCAATGTAGTTTAGGTAAAAAATATAGGACTTGCTCGAAAAAAATATTCTGATCTTCAGTGCGTGCACACAAAGTCCAAGTTTGTCACACTCTCAATGGTACTAACTAGGGGAATAGACAGGAGAATCTATGGCAGCTAGCTTGAAAGGATTGGTAGTCAAGCTTGCAGTATTACTGCCTGGCAGATTTATGTCAGTAATATCTGAAGCATTAGCAGTTTGACATATTGGCGATCGTAAAATTTGGAGTCGCGCGCAGGAAGAGGCTATCTCTCATTCATAGACTGATAATACATCAGATCCCTTCGGGTCGGCGAGCGCGAATATGTATCTGGTCTTCCGCTGATTTGCATGCCGCAAGTACACGGAACGTCAAGCCCCGCATACCCTAAGTACTCAAGAACAGTACCGATCGTGGAAGACCAACTCACGAACGTTCTTCGTGTAATGTAACGAGATATATCTGACGAGACCGCGATTATTCTCGGCACGCGCATGAAACGCTCATAAAACGTAGGAAGTTCAATACGTACGTAGCAGTGTTCAAATTACAGCAAACCCGTCCGTCGATCGATCGTTCATTCGCTCGTATTCATTGGTCAACGTGAAAAACATGACTACCCAAACAAGCTCTTCACTGAATATTATCATTTCATTGAAATTTTAAATTAACCTAGATATCTCTCCAAATATATAACTCCAACTCATTCACACATGTGACGTTTTTTTTTTTTTGTATACTTTTAATGCATGGTAACGATAAATTTTTAATTAATAATATAAGAAAAGGAGACTTACTATGTATGAAAAAATTAATTAATACAAACTCGTTTAAATAATAATATTGAAAATGGTTTATTTAAAAAAAAGAACATTTTTTTATATATTTTGAAATTTATTTCAAATGTTGTAAATTTTAAATTTGTAACTTGTGAAATCGATGTTCACAGTGTTACATAATAATTACGCGTAAGTTGACTCTTATCAATGTCGCTCTGATCGTTGCGTACTTGTTTTAAACATTATATGAGTGATATTATTCATGTTCTACAATTCTACTTTAAAGAGTATACGCGCAGAAAAAAAAATTGGAAGGGGACAAAAAAACGGAGAAGTAAAGAATAAGAAGAGACATGAAAAAGACACGAATCTTTGAAACTATTACAGAGCTTTTCGCGTGTCTTTCATCAGCAAGGATGAGTCAGCTTCAACAGGACTCTGCAACGTCTCTCGGCAGCGGCGACATCGCTTACGACGCAACGCCCACAGTCATTACTGCACCTCGGCAAACATTCAAACGAGTTCGTTTGATTAGTTTAATGGTTCGTTTGGCTTTACTCTTCCCTAAGTGTCGAATCTCTATCTCGCACTATCACAGCCCAAATGTTTTACCTAGCTGGCCGAGCCAATCGACGTCAATTATCTATTCGTGTCGTCATCTAGTCGATAAAATCCCCAGATAGCGCGGAATAACTTTTACGATTGCTGTGAGTGCAGAGACATTTTAGCGGAATTAAATCAGGACAATTTAAAGGATTTGATTTGCCGTAAGTTGCAGATATCCGAAGAGAGAACAACAGATCAGATAACGCTCACGTATATTTTCGTTGGTTTATTATAAATGTCAATTACGGAATTAGATTTAAAGGTGGTAAATATATTAAGAGAGGATAGACGACTTTATCGTTCGCGTAAATCTTTCTCTCCATTGCGTGCTTAATCCATCTGCTGGCTATTACTGGCGTACTGACTGACGTACACTGTTCGAGCTGTATCAAATACACGAGGCTGTATCGGGAAAGAAAGTTTTAAATAGAAAAGTTTCGTGCTCTCTCGTGATTCTGATATTCTGCGTCTCGTTAACTCTTAAACGTTAATAAGTAACAGGTCGTAATTCACAATTAGCGTAACGGAGATTTGCTTGGTACGAATCTTTAAAATTTATCACATATTCCAGAAAACATAAAATTCCAAATACATAAAAGCTCCATCGTAAGAAAAGTACCTTGTGCTTAAGTCTTAAGTGGTTAAGAATGACACAATGGCGACATGCAGATTCTCCTGCTACTATAGATAACTAATAGAAAGACATTTGCCTCGCAATACCTCCAGTTTCAATGTTAATTGATTCTAATAAATACTCCTTATCTTCAAATTTAAGAAAACTCTCTGTCCTGTAAATTTTATTTTTAAATAAAAAATTGATCATTCTCGTCTCGCCTCTAACAAAATTAATTAATTTATGTCATAATAAGATATTTTCAATTTTGTTCAATATTAAGGAAAGAACATCGCGATTAACGCTCGTAAAACCAATGAAATTTGTTGCCAAAGATATAAAAATGTATTCGTTTTCAGCAGTAACGATTGAATATTCTCGTAATTCCAACTTGAACCATTTTTTCTTAAAACTCCGCGAACGGATGTTGCGCCTTTGGCGATCGTGTACGTGTGCACACACATATATAAGTGTGCACAGACGCGTCTTAAAGTTTTTAACAGCCCCGCGGCTTTCATTACGTGTCTCGTTCGAGTTGTAGAGTTATTGATCCTGAAAGTGCAATGGGAATTAGGAGGGACTTTGAAGCTACTGAAATATCCTAAATACACGTAAAAAGCATGACGAAATGCTCGATATTCTTTCAAAGATCTAACAAACATCTAACGTAACATCAGACTAAAATTAATATAAAATAGATAAAAATATAGTTGAGCAAATTCTTGAAACACGTTTGAATCCGCGTGAAATAAAAAGCAATATGTATGAAGTTATGACGAAGTGTCCGAACCAAACTATCCTTATCACACGAATGGAAAGCCCCACTATTTGAACACGTCTCCACGTCCGCGTACTCTATTATGTCCACCCGAATATCTCTCTCGCGATTTCGGTTACGTGCTGTTTTCAACACGCCGCAACAGTTTCAAAGTTTTAAATCGACAGGTCGCACCATCCTACCAGCCGACGGGGCTTAATGGCGCATCTTTTACATAAACGAGGCAGCCCGGTCATACTTGGTGAATTCACGACTTTGATCCCTCCCGCTAAATCTCCTCAGCTTTTTCTCTTTCACAACTTGCAGAACTCAATTTCTATCCAGGATATGCGAAGAACGTACGGCAAACTTTTTCCCACGGATGCACCGAACGTTGCTCCTGCAAATCTATCAACTCCGGGATGCGCCGGAAGGAAAAATTTGTAAACCATTTATGATGGAAAGAAATTTTAAAACGGTACGCTTGGAAAATGCCTCGAACAAAATAATGCAATCTCTAATTTATCGCTTCGCAATTTACTTTTCGTTATCGTTTGTCATTACTTCTTATCGTTTGATACAATGCGTATATCAGATTTTTCAAATTAGAAAATAAAAAATATGAACATGATACTCACCTCAGATCTCCTTTCTGCAGAGAAATCTCTTCAAAGACTAAACGGATTCTCTCCTTCAGCCTGGAAGGAGTGGAAATACGATTAAATAAATAAGTTACTCTCTGTGCATGCGTTTTTCTAGATAGATACGTTATAACGCCACTTGCTACTGTATAAAGGCCATTGTAAACGCTACATAACTCGCAATATTAAAGCTTGCATTTTTATGAATACGGAAATATTATTACATGCATTTTTCGTCCAAGCGGTACTGCAGGACGGTTATACTACACGCGCGCGGTTTATCTTGTTCCCCGCGGTACTAATGAAACAAGATGGGCGAGAGCTGTAATTAATTTCATTATAAGCGCACCTAGCGCATGAATTTGTTAAAACGACGTCGACGCAAACAGCGACGAAAACGGCGTCGGTAGCGGCTGTGAACAATGTGACGTGAATCTTTTTGCGCAAAAAGATTAATAACTAAATGTGCCAAAAAGTACCTTTATATGTATATACGATAGAAATACTTTATATACTCGTATAAAAAATATGTGTACCCCGTTGGAAGGGAGATTGACTTATAGCGACGACATAGCGTGACAAAGGCCGTCGAGCCATCGAGAACACTGTAGGTAGTATGTTAATATAGAGCGAGTGTCACGAATGCCTAACGGATAGACTGCATGCGTGTACACGTATGTATACGTATCCGCTGGCTTTATTATAGCGGCTGGCGCATAGTGGCCGGCGCGACGTTGCGTTGACATAACTGTTAGACATATAGGGCTGCACACGCTACTTTGATACAATTACTGTAATTAAGCAGCAACCCACAATACTACGGAAATCATATCTGCGCGTACTGGCCTGGCGCCGCGCGATTAAATTCATCACGATTGAGCGACGTTCTGATTCGACTCCGTTAACTATTTCCTTTGATCGTTGTACATATATCAGACATCCACGGAAGTCAATGAACCGTGTAACAATACGCCAACTATGACGTTTATACAATAGAAACGCAAAACTAGAAATTCCATAAATAAAGGATAAATAAGTAAACTGGATATTCTCTGAAACAAATTACGGGAGAAAATATGTTTTTTTACGTACGTATATCCTGGAAAATTAATACTACCGCTTGTGTGTTATCATTTTGTCGGTTAACATTAGGTTGCATGGGTTGCATTTTCATATGCAAATCGCTCGAGAGGTCTAGTCTCGGTGTTGTTTCGTGTGAAACCGGTTAGAGAATAGCAATGCTTCCTGCGAGAGATCATGCCAAGAACTTGTTGGTTTTTCCCCCGTTAGTTGGGCGCGAGTAGCTTTTATACCGCTGCACTGCGAAACGGCTTGCGACAGAATGGACGTAAACTTTTGGCTGCTACGTAACACGGAACCAAGATGAGGAACGACGAAAGTTGAGATGGGTAGGAAGCCAGAAAATTTTCAATGAGAAAACGCGATAATATCAAAATTCAACATGACCTAGTCATCTAAAACCAGTATACCGAGTTTTACAATTAATGATGTACGCGAAATTACTTTAATTATTAGCCACAGGCCACTATGCCACTTTTTAGCGTAACACATTTACGAGGGGGTAACCACTACTTGAAATATTGTCCCACTGATTACATGATTTCATTTGCTTTTATATAATTTGTCTGATTACAAATAATTGTTTTCACTACATATGAAGTTATTTGGTAAAATAGACGATTTTATTTAATATTATACAATGATTTCTCATGGTTGCAAATGTAATTACCGGATTATACATAGAGATTTCATATGAATTTTATAATGATTTCGAGGACTCTATCCCACGATCACATCAAGAAATTACACCCTCGCATATTTATGGACAGAAATCATTAAACAATCGTGCGATCCGGCTAATGTTAATAATTTAGAATGATTGCGTTTTTTCTTGATATTCTTCTCAACTGCGTCCCGTATGTAGGAAAGTAATGCTATGACACACAGAGCACGCCCCTTCCGATTCGAATCTCGTCGTGCAAATAATAACAAGCGTGCGTACAATAGACCGTTACGATACGTTCGGGTCATGGCTGCGTCAATGTAAACAATAATAGGCCTGTTCTTTTTGGCTGAACTTTTGCACTAGTTCATCTTTCTTCCTTTTCTCTTCAGGAGGCGCGCCGTGCTACCGTATGTGTTATCGCCACCAAGTTCAACGGAATTCTGTGTTTTTTTGACTTTTTGAATAAACGATCTTTCGCATAACATGCGGTTTGCTTTTCAAATGCGTTAATATAACCCTTAATACATACACTTTTGGGTCATTCGTGTCCTGCGCATTTTTTTTCTTTGAAATACTAAGAGTACCTGCTCAAATACAGGTCTTTTTTTCTATTCCTAAAAAAAGTTTGGCTAGAGAAAAAGTTTTGTGCGTTGCCGGTCTCAATTCATGTGTATCCTTTAACTAGAATAACTCCGAAGTTTACCTCTGCGTCACAAATGACCCATCGTGTGTACACAGTGTACATTTTTTGTAACTAACAAAATTTTTATTTTTTCCTTTATTTTCAACTAATAGCGTTTTTCACTGGCAGAGCTGGTGCACACTCAATGTACTTTAAAACCGTTACATAAATCGACATAAAGATGTACGTTTAATAAAAATATAGAAACGAATTAAACCGCGAAATCCTCATTTTATTATGATGTTTGATAAAATTTATTAATTGAGATATCTCACTTTTACATTCATTGTTAGATTAAGTTAGTGAACAACAGCTTTAATGTGCACTGAACTTTAATGTAAAAACCACTATAATTTTCATTTATATTGCGGGAATATTTCGCAAATTATTAAAAAAAGAATTTAACCTTAGAACAACATATTAGCCCTCAATAAACATATTGGGTTTTGGCATCCTTGTGTTAAATGTCTATAATATTATATATTATGTTTGTTGTCTGTAATATTATAAAAAACATTTTCCTAATAAACTATAAGTTTTTTTCACACAGTATCAATAATAAAATGCATTGGTAAAAATGTAAATGCAATATATCTTCAATGTATAGCATATTATTTGATGCATATAAAAAAAAAAACATTATTTTTAGGTTACTAAATAACTAAATTTTTTGGACAGCCGACACTTGAACTATTTTTTATTTTGTAGTTTGGAATGTCAACTTTAAGATATTGAAACATATTTTTCCTTTAAACATTTTTGTTTCAGAGTTTTACATTTTTGTATAAAAAAAAGGCATTTTTTAATTTTGTTAACTATATATTTAGTTATAATAATTTATATGTAATTTGTTATAAAAATATACAACTTTACAAATACTTTCTAAAGATGTCAAAATATAAATATTGCTTAATAATTTTTATATTTGTAAAAAAGATGAAAATTAATCCAGGTCACGAAAGACCCATCGTGTTTAGTAAGGGTACCAAAAACTAAGGTGTGTGTATTAACTTAATTCTTTTTTATGCAGAGTAATTAGAACAATCATATTAAAAATTACATTACAATCTAATTTAAAAGTGTATGCATATATACAACGTGTATTTATTTAATTTTTAGTTCGCTCGTTTAACAATAATTATATCTTAATACTTTTATGTACAGAATAATGGGATGAATCGATTGGTGTAAACAAAAAAAAAACTTACCTTTTTAACTATACTAACGCAATTGAAAAGCAAAACGCGTATTATACGAGAAATCATTTATTCAATATAAAAAGCTAAAAACAATAATTCGTATTGAATTGAATTTGATGGTGACAACGAACGCGACATTTACCGTTCATTGTTTACGTCGGCGCGGCATTGGCTTTAGAACGCGTATCGTAATAGCCTATTTTACATACGCATTCGTTTTGTTATCATTCGCGCGATGAGATTCGAGTCGGTCGGAAGGAGCGTGCTGTGTGTGTCATAGCATTATTTTCCTATGAGACGTGGTGACGCGGTCGAGAAGAGTATCAAGGGAAATGCAATCGTTCTAAATGATTAATACTAGCCAGATTATATATATAGTCGATTACTTAATGATTTCTGTCCATAAATATGTTACACGATAAAAAGCGATACAGTAGTCTATGGCCAATCGATCATTTGCTTTTTCTCACGTTAAAGTGGCAAGTGGACTACACTGTGTTACCTCTTAGGTCATTCGAAAACTCACTTGAACGTCTTAATGCGTCATTCTATCTTTAAAACAAGGATAAAATGACACTCGGGCACTCGGGTAAAATCTCTAAATCTAAACGCAGTCTAATTATTGTGCGTAATGCGTAGTTATGTTCAGTAAACGAATTTCACTGCCGACGTTTCACAAGCGCATTGAGATTATTCGAGATATCGAGGCTATTAATTCTTATCAAAGCGGTTATTTCGCACGATATTACTTGCCTGAGATCGAAACAGTAGGAGATGGCAATTGATGGCAATTTTCACATTTGAGAGCTTTGTGTCGATTTAAATAAATTACTTTGCTCGATATAAATAGGATTATTATCGGATTTGAATAATACGCGAACCGGTGCTTGGAGCGATTTGAAAATAACGAGAAAGCACGGCAACTGATTAATGATACATGTAGTTTGAGATTTGTGTTCTAAATACGTGCATGCCAAATTTTGTGATCGTATATTCTCGAACGGACTTAACCGACGCAACGCGGCGCTGCATTCCGAATGTGCGTGAAGTTAGCACCGTTCTGAGTGGAGTTTGCCGTGAGACGCTATTTTCACTATTCGTCAACCATTATTGGAACGTTACGTGATGCAAAAAAAGTCATGTCCGAATCAAGTAGCGTCGTGACTGTCGTGAGTAGAGTCGCGATCAATAAATTGGCCGTGGTTCATTCAACCTCGCATTTCAATTTTGTCGACCGTACAACGTAAGTTTCGTTATACATCAGGGTTTCGTGAAAACTTACTATCGTCAGTTCTCGAAATGTGTCGGTGTGTCGTGCAGGTCGTGCTCGATAAATACAGCCAAGCGAATCGCAGCGTATCGTTCTATCGTTTCTTCGTCTTTTTCTTTTTCCTCGTTTACTTCCGTCGCGATCTGTCGTCGTAGTATGATAAATATGACATGTGTCATTAATATCGGGAGTGCCGTATCAAGTAACGCGCGATCGTCTTATTCTGATAATTAGCGTAAGTGTTAATTACTAAGTTTCCGTGAGTGAGGGAATCTGACAGGAAGAGGCCTGAAAAGCCTCGGGCGATAGTGGAGCAATCATGAGGTGAATGTTTCACTAATTGCAATATTTATGTGGGTGTGTGCGTGTGTGTTATTATAAAAAAAAAAAAGAATCTTTCATTTTTGTTTAATTTCCAATCACTCATTGAGATAATTTATGTAAAAATAGTAAATTTTTATTTAAAAAATTTTACAATTTCTATTTGAAAAACTGAACTTAACTTTTTCTCTGAAATTATATGCATAATTAGGGGAGAGTTGGCTAAGTCGTACCGATGGCTAAATCGTACCTCCATTTTTGTATTTTCTAAACAAAACATTTTTTTTTAAAGATAATAACACTGATGTGACGCTGATAATATGGATTAAAAACTATCATGTTTGTTTTGTCTTCGAGTTATCTGTTTACGAGTGATATTCAAAATTGATTTTGTTCGATGTCTGATCTCAGTTTTGGTATAATTTACCTAAGGTGTTATCAGTACAAGGTGGGTAATTGAATTATAGTGTTATTCAAGGTTATAATTGATATTTAAACTCTTTTCGAGTATAGCATCAAATTAGCAAAATATTTGTAAGTTATGTTGCTATTTGCAAATTTGTAAAAATAGAGGGAGTTGAATAAATCGTACTTGTCGCTGGAGTTTATATTGTACCGGTATGATTTTCGCAAGTGACGCGAGCAGTATGTGGAGGTTACTATTATGATAAAAAAAGGACTACAGTGGACTGGATTCAGCGTGTCAGGTGCTCTAAGTGGTTGCACGAAACCTGTAGGGACAATCCTGACATTTATCAAAACTGTTTAAATAAGCGCTCAAGAAAGTGATTACTTATCAACTATTGAGTCTTTCTATTAAATTTTTCTATTGAGTCTTTCTACTGAGTCTTTCTATTGAATCTTTTCTATTGTGACGGAAAAATCGGACGGTAATTGATTTTATTTCCAAAATTTATTTTTTCAAAATATCTGAGATTTTAATATTCTGAAATATAATGCAATGATAGCTTAAATCAATTTAAGTATTGCTTTTTACTTTGTTTTCTTAAATGAGTTTAAAAAACACAGAGTCTAATTTCTGTTTTTATAATAGAAAAATTTTTATTATACCTACTTAAATATGTATGCTCAGTTTAAATTAAAAATAAATTTATTAATAAATGGGTTTTAAAATTAATTTTGTTTATTTTCCCAGTAAACAAACTGACGTTATTTACCGTCATTTTGACGTTAAACATGTTATTTTAATGTCAAAATGATAAGAAGCAATATCACCTTGTTTGCTACATTAGAAGTACGATTTAGGAACCAGGTGGTACAATTTAACAACCCGGTCTCCAAATCGTATCGAAAGCTACTTTTTTTGAAAAATCTAATTTAAACAATAATTTAATATTTATTTTTGTAATAGTATCGTTTTGTTTTATTGCCAATGAACCAAAGTTATTAATGTAAGTACAGAAATATTCTGATCTCTTTAGTACTTTTGTTACAATTTTGTTTAAACGTAGGGATACGATATAGGCGACTTTCCCCTACAAGTATTTTATGAAATGTTTACTTGGAAGGTAAATAAAGAATTCATTTCGCACAATAATTATTTTTCAGATATAGTTATTGGCGCGAGTGTTAATTATCGAGTTTCTACGAGTGTGGTTTCGAGAATATCTGAGAGGAGGAAGAAACCTGGGAGGTATCGGACAATGGCGGAGCAACCAGGTAAAGTAAGTATCTCACTCTTATACGTTATTTGTGTGTATTACTTGCAGAAAAAAATCCTTAATTCGTGTATAATTTTTAATTACCTACTGGAATAATTTATATTAAAAGTAAAAAAATTTCGCTTTAAAAATTGTTTTAATTTACTTAAAAAACTGAATTAAAATTTTTTTTTAGAGAAGTTATATTATATTATATAATTATTTTATGAAACGGTTACTTCAAAGACAAATAAACTTTTTAGATATTAATTATTTTGTAAACGCAAATGTAATTTGGATTTAATATCTACATATATGTTACAGATAGTTACAACTCCGCTATTGCGCATCGTGTCGGTGAGTCACAAATAATCTTTCATTTAATTGGAGGTAATGAATCTGTGAATCTTACAGATGGACGTAATATTTCATAGATTTGTTTTTGAACGCTGTGTCAAAATGAATACGTTGAATCCGATATGATTGAACGTCCCCCGATACGTTAGATTAAGTGTTAATGAACTGCGAGCAGGATTACAGACAGACTGTCGTCATTAAATGCGTTAAAGCAGTAGATATATGATGACGGCGGAGATTAGCAGCGGAGATGTATTATATATGGATTAGATCCTCCGGAACAGAGAGAGCGCGCGGGCTCAGGAGTAGGTCAGATTAGTTACCTTGCCCGGAAGAGGTAGGAGCACCGGATGTTCTTCGGATAGGAGGACGGGTAGCGCGGCGAATAAAATCGTCCATATTGAGGCGTCGATTGCGAACTGACAAACTCGTGATCGCACATTGTGCCGGGCACCAGCAGACCGTCCATCTCGAATAAACCTGGAACAAAAAGAAGACGAGGATCACGTTACGACATCGTCGACTTTGTGGTCTACTTGTCGACCATGTCCCGACTATCTATCTCTTTTTACTTGTCATTTTGTCAAAGTTATCGCTTTTATCCCAGTTCTTTCTAGCTTGTTAGTTCATTCAATCTCTATATCTGAGACTACTGTTGTAAAATCTGCATTTTCCATATAAAATGTTTGACAAGTTAAAAAATAGTATTGAACCGTTTTTAAAAACAAAAACATGTGACATATAAATTATTTACAAAATACTTTTACACGTTGGCAAAAATTTTGTTTTGTAACTCGTGCTTTTAATTATTTACAATTTTTCATAGAAACTATATATTCTATTGTAGTAAAAAAATCTTCCTAATTGGTGATTTTATTACAATTTTTTTTCTCACTGTTTTGAAAAAGCTATTGATAAACATCAGAACACGTGCAGAATCCTATTTAAAACTAGTCTTTCACGGAAATGGAAATCGAGATGAAATAAAATTAACGATTGCTAGCGTCCTTAGAGCGTGCAAATATACCTACTGAATCCGTTACGTATTGATTAACTAGTGGCGCGTCCCACACTCCTTTCAAAGGCGTCGCCATGGTAAAATTTAACTTATAACTGAGTATCGTTACTTGCTCACGATTAACAAAAATATATAACGATACAATGCACAAAATCGTAGTTAATTCTAATCCTTTTTTTTTTTTCATTTGCGCAGCCACTCGTCTCGTTAGTTTTTGCAGAGTAGCTGCGCACATTTCAAAATAAAACCAAATAGCAACCATGTATAACGAATATTTGTGCAATATAACTATTTCGATGTAACGTTTGGGACTATGTACAAATATCTCGAATACACGGGTTTTAGCGCGATAACGATATCGCCAATACCGACCGATTTTGTTAAAAGCACAGAGAATTATCACCGTTCGTGTGCATACAAAGGACTCGTACCGTTTTTAGATTCCACGATTTCTACGGGATATGTACGGGCAATTACATCCCTGGTTTGCGCAATTCAGAATACTCGAGATCGTTCTTTTGTGCTTGAAACAAAGACGAGAGGAAAAAGCGGTAGTTTCCGGAAGATAAAAAAAACGAACAGGAGGTTGAAGAAGGTCGTCGGCTGCATCTATCTGCTAGTAAAGAGATTTCGTAAAAGAAATGTCGAATTCCAGAACGAATTAATCGTTAACTCGCCCATCGATATAGTCCTATTGTAAGTAATGCGAATAACAGTCAAGAAAGTCCAATATACGTTTGCATTATACTCGATCAATTATCGTGATAAATGGGACCCCGTCGGACTTTATGATATTCGAAGAGCATAATTAGATTATGAAATAATGATCTGTCGACCTCTTCGAATATGCTATCGGCATTGAGATCCGCGAATTAATATAGTATATAATGGAGAGTAAAGTTCATAGATATAGGTATGGAAATAATTTTGTGACAATGAAACTCACAGACATTGTATTTCAATGTACTTCGTATTATTTCTTCTACCGCTAGTTCTCTAATTTTACAATATACGTTTGCATTATACTCGATCGACAGATCATTATTTCATAAACTAATTATGCTCTCCGAATATCATAAAGTCCGACGAGGTTCCATTTATCACAATAATTGATCGAGTATAATGCAAAATAATTATACATATATATATACAGAGAAAGAAATACTTGTTAGAAATCATGGAGAATTAAATTGAATGAATTTTTAATTTAATTATAATTAACAGAATACTTTTTGCATAAAACAAAGCAGGTAAAATTAATCAATGTGAATCCCCGGGGAAAGCAAATTTTATTGCATCATACTATCGTTCCAAGTGCACAATAAAACACACATGAGGATAAGACATAAGAACCGCAATTTCATCCGCCATCAACATTAATGGGATAATTTCGAAATATATATAAAATGTAGATCTACTTATGTCATTCCTGTTACAAATGATTTAAATTCTCGCAAGACTCGGTCTATCCTTTCCATTTCAGATTTCAGATATCGAACAAAATTATTATCTACGTTTCAAACTTTAATCTAAAAAGACATAATCGAGTAAAAAAATTCTAATTGCTTAAATAATATTTCTACTCGATATTCATTAATACATTTCATCGTGCCTGTGCAGATAATAGTTATAATATCTGTTCTCTCAATAATGATGAATCCAAAAGAAATACAAAACTTTACTTCATGGAAAAATAGTGCTCTTTTACCGTTGTAAATTAGAAACTTTGATTAATTTCATTCAATTTTTAAATACACTTTTCCTTCCACGTTCCCGTCATCCTTCTTCTCGGGGTTTAAACGAACTATTCGAAGTTTAGCGTCAGTATATTTTAAGATAGAACTATATATGATCGATTTTACACACACACACACACATTTATGCGCATATAGTATATGGTATATCTCGTGAGGAATCGTACGTGTGCCGGACGCTTGATGTCGTCTTGATATCCGATGTCACGTTGCGATTTGCGAGCAAGTGTGGTTTACACGAAATAATAGAAAATAAAGATCAGTAAAGGATGTCAAACTACTTTGGTTTTTCATAAATAATATGACAAAAAATTAATAAACGACAACCAATCAAAATACTCATGAGAAATATCTGTAGTTTTCGTGTATTTGTTTTTATTTTTAAGTTACATTTATTTTTTCCGATTGAACAATTATACCAATTTTGTTTCACTTTTAAATTCATTCCAACCTTCAGTAAAGCTCTTTTTATAAACCGAATTCATAAATGGTGTAGCGCACAACGTTCTTCACGAAAATTGTATGGCACACTTAATGACGTCGGTTTTCGCTCACAATGTCACGTTGCAGATTGCAGGAACGTTCTGTCTTGTTACGATAGAAAGCGGAGTATTAGAGAAGCAAGAAAAGCAAAACATTATTATCAAGATAATAGATTTTGATATACTTTTAACATTGAATAATTCTATTTCCAATAACATTCACAAAACAAAAGTATATAATATAATGAAAAAATTTCAATTGCATTTTATGTAAATTATATGCTATTTTTATATTTCTTTTGATAAATGAAAGCAAGCGCTTATTTTGTCAGTATTGTATTTGTACTATTGTAACGTTAATCTATCGAAAGACGAATAAGATATCTGTCATGTGTGGTTGAAATTAACGACGTGATTTTCCGATATACACACATGTGTTTAATGCGCGCCGTACTCTCGACACTGATTTATTTCAAATTTTTGCGTTATCGGGAAAAGCCGTGCATACGTTTGAATTATGAAACAGCTCCATCGGGATACCAGTCCCAATTACGAGTCTAGTGGCAAGTCAAAACTCTCTCAAAGTCATATCTCACGTTGGCCTGGAATTACGATCACGTAGTTTTAAAATGGTGCACAGTATGTTTAATTTTCCCACGTTTTTTTCTATTATTGCATTTTTTATGTGTTACTGTTACAAATTAATGTTCTTCACCGAATAAAATACCGACATTAATACTTTTTCACTATAATTATGAGATTTTTTTTCTATATTTTTCGTAATTGTGATTCGTCGAGCTTTTTTTATGAAACCACATATAATCTACATTAAAACATTTTTTCTAATTAATAAAGCTCGTGCAAGAATGATAAATTAAAATCCCTACGGAAGTATAGGTATGTCGATGTTGGCATCGTCGATTTCCAATTTCGCGCACTTTTATTTCCCACGCGTACACACGCTAAGCTTCCGAGGGCGAAACCGCGTACCGACAGATCTTATCTGAATATTTTATAGACCAGCCCGCGCCGGAGGTGACAAGCATAGCCTGGTGCTGATGCATAAAATTTCACATCCTCGGTCATTCGCAGGTAGGACAGAAATAAAAAAAAACAGAAGCGTATTCTCTAGGTGACATTACGTCTCAAAGTTTCGTTCGGAGATATCTCGCTTGAATAATGCTGGAATTTGAGTCGACGTTTTTGGAGCTTTCAATGCATTTTGGTCAATAAGATGCATCATTCGTTATGGTCTATGCGACAATTTTGCATAATCTTCAATATCTCTATATTTATTTTAACAATGCAATATCAACACACGTAAAAGCTACCGTACAACATTGGCCTGAAGTGATTTAGATTACGTGAAAACAACATATTATATAATTTTATAAGTTACATAAGTTAATTTTATAAATTAATTTTATTTACCAATTTATCAATTTCATAAATAATAATAGTTACAATAAATTCAACAATAACGTCGTATTTAATATTTTAATAGGAAGTTGTGTAATTAATAATCCTATAATCCTGTGAAAAATTATGACTGAGCTCTCTAAAAGTGAATCAGTGTATTATTGCTGACTTCAGTGTTACATTTATAACTGATGTAATCATCAACAGGTTATGATTTTCTGCAGATTTAATCTGTAGAAATCATAACTTCTAAAAATAAATCAGTGTATTATTACTGAAAAACAGTAAATATTCGCTGATGATTACAGTTATAAGTGTAGCACTGAAGTCAGTAATAATACACTGATTCACTTTTAGAGAGAGAATGAAGCGTATTATTACTGAAAAACAGTAAATATTCGCTGATGATTACAGTTATAAGTGTAGCACTGAAGTCAATAATAATACACTGATTCACTTTTAGAGAGAGAATGAAGCCCATAGATTCAATCTTGCCACTTCAAGAGATTTAAGTTCATAAATGAAAAAATATGGAGAGAGAGAGGGGGACAGGGGGGGAGGGAGACGGAGAGAGGGAGGGAGAGAGAGAGAGAGAGAGAGAGAGAGAGAGAGAGAGAGAGAGTGAGAGAGAGTGAGTGTAGTATTCTATTGACGGTCGAGTACAAAAGGGGATCAATAGCTTGCGTTCATTTTCACTACAGCGCACTGGAGATCGTGTACGGCATTTTACATTAGCGTCTTACAGCTACTCTCATCTCGGCGTAATTCTCTTTGACCTCGTCTTTACGTACCGTCTTCTTGATTTCT